CTCTGAATGTTTGTTCGTCCTGTCGGCTCTGCCTGCAGCACTGTACACATGCTCAGCTTCCACATGAACTATGTAAACCCCTATTCCTGTGGGGCCCTGCCTCCATTTCCTTTCCCTCCTCCTTCCTCCTTCCGTAAGCACTAGTCCTTCACCGCCTCTACCACACTGCCTGGTAATAATCTGTTTGTGTATCTATCTTCCTCACTGGACTGTGAATTCATTGAGGGCAGGGGCTGTGTCCCTGACTTACAGTATGGTGTCTGGTTAAAGCAAACATCCCAGCAATGTTTGTTGATATTTCTGTGGCAGAGAATTAGGATGCGATGATCAGTAAAAGACATTCAAGCATAAAAGTATCCTGTATTAGCTTCTGTATGAGAGGCCTAGGAAGAAGAACACTTCAGCCAGGTCAATGACCAAAGGGTCCGTGAGTTCTAGAGCCCCGTCAGGGCTCTGGGCTGATGGTTCAGAACCTGACCCTGTTGTCTGATTCTGTGTCTCCCTCTTCTCTCTACTCTCCCTGTCATATGCTCTGTCTTCTCTCTGTCCCAAAATAAATAAAACGTTGAAAAAAAAAAAAATTAAAAAAAAAAAAAAAGAGTCCAGATAACAATGGAATACTACTTGGCAATGAGAAAGAATGAAATCCTGCCATTTGCAACAACATGGATGGAACTGGAGGGTATTGTGCTAAGTGAAATAAGTCAGAGAAAGAGACACTAGTATATAAGCTTCACCATGTGGATCTTGAGAAACTTAACAGAAGACTGGGGGGGAAGGGAAGGGGAAAACAGTTACAAACAGAGAGGGAGGGAGGCAAACCTTAAGAGACTCTTGAATGAAGAGAACAAACTGAGGGTCGATGGGGGGGGGGGCAGGGGAGAGGGGAAAATGGGTGATGGGCATTGAAGAGGGCACTTGCTGGGATGAGCACTGGGTGTCGCATGTAAGCGGTGAATCACGGGAATCTAACCCTGAAGCCAAGAGCACACTGTATATGCTGTATTTTAGCTAATTTGACAATAAATTATATTTTTTTAAAACGTACACTGTATTAGGATAGTATTCTGAGTGAGTATGCGTGTGTGGAGGGGTGTAAAATGGAAATATGACTTCAAGGGGAAAAAAATAACTTGTAACTATAAAAACTATAAATAACTTCGAGCATAAAGAAAACATCATTCATGCACTACTCAGTGTGGCCTACACTTCACAAAGAGGCATCACTGAAGAATCTCACAGCCCAGTCCTGCTGAATCTGAATCTGCAACTTGGCAAAATCCCCAGGTAATTCTTAGGCATAGTCCAGGTTCTGAAGCACTGGTCTAATGCATACTAATCACAAGAGTAGTAATAAGAATTAATAACATTTACTGAGTCTTGATGATGCTCCATGTTTTGTCTAGACACTCTACCTGTATTAACTCGTGTACCTCTCACAGCAATCCTGTAAGATCGATACTATTTAACATCCTCGTTTTTACAGAGGAGGAAACTAAGAGATGAAGTAACTTGTCAAGGTCACACAACTAGTAACGGTAAGAAGAGAAAAAGATTTCCAGTACCTAGCTCACTAAAGGTGCACAGGAAGGGCTTAATATTTTAATAAATGCTGCAAAGTGGAGAGCTGAGATTTGGACCCGGGCTGACGGGTTCTAGAGCCCCTGAGCACTCAGCGCATGATAAATAGCTATGAAGTGTACCAGGGGGGCTCTCTCTCCCCAGCACCTGGCACACTGCAGAGCATCCACAATCGACACAGGAATGTGTGAACGAATGGTAGTGTGGTACACTGGGTTGTGGGAAGGCCCCTCTTGCAGTCTAGGACAGGAGTTTGGTGAAGAGTAGTAGAATGAGAAGTAAGCGATTTGGAGTTAAAACTGTCAGCCTCAAAGCGACAAGAAGGAGCCTGAGGTTGGAGACTATGCCTGTGTGTACTCTAGAACTCACAAGCCTGAGGGGAAAATGGGACAACGCTAACAGTGATGACCTGTCACGGGTTCCTGTCTCCACAAATTCGCACACGCTCCAAGGTCACTGTAAAGTAACCCAGGTCTTTCTGAGAATGTCCAGGGTGTGGCCTCACAGCAGCCCCACTCTCCCAGACACCTCTGCTGTGCTACCTCTCATGAGGCAGCTCAGTCCCTGGGGACAGCTGCTGTGACTATACTGCTGGGTCCCCCAGGTCCCACGGCCTCCTGCTGCAGCTGATGTACTAAGGACTCTGCTAAAGCGGCCCCCAGGCTGCAGCGAAGAGGTCAATGCCCCAGCCCCTGTGTGCTCTACTCCATTACGGGGGTTCTCAAGCAGGACTGATGTGTGCCAACACCTTGTGGAGATTTCAGTCAAACAGCCCCATGGAGAACACAGGACTCAGCAGACTGTGCTCAGCCAATGTTGGATCTAACTGGCCATGCCTGGACCCCCTCCCCTTCTGGTAAATTCTATCCCCAGGGGCTCCTCAGCCAGCAAACAGGTTTCTGAAATGCACCCACAAATTTGCCAAGGCATCCCAAGGGTTTCTGAGCTTAAACTCAAGATGGAACTTTCCCCAAAACTGGCTTTTCTCCCCTTGCCCCTTTAACCCAGCACCATAATACTGAAGTTTTGTTTCAAAAAACAGACTGGAATCTCTTTAAAACTGTGTGCATTTATTCAAAGTGTCAATGTGTCTCATTCAGCTCCAAATCCTAGGATTCCCTGGATAATAACTAACACATATTCCTACTGACTAGATGCCTGGCACTTTAACCATAAACCTTGGGAGAATGTGCCATTTCTCCAGTTTATAGACGAGAAAAGATCAGAAGATTACAGAGCTCTCTGAAGGTCTCACATCTAGCAATAAGCCCAGATTTCACCCAAGTTTGCCTCTCCCAAGTACATTGGAGATTGTCCCCTTTTTGGGCCAGGGATAGTAAGATGATCAGAGAGATGCCCCTTCCTTAGAAGAAAAAGGGACGAACACCTGGCCCCGATTCAGAGACCTGCTTCCAGCCCCTGACCGGGTACGCATCCTGGACCCAGGGCCCCCAGCCCGGCCACGAACTGGCAGCGCGCTGGCTCCAGAACCGGAGCGCTGAGGCCTCGCCCCCGCCCAGACTCTAGGCTCGCCCCGGCCGCTGGGCACGCCCCCGACACTGGCCACGCCCCCCGTCCCTGGTCAGTCACCGCCCGCCAACAGCCGCCATTTCCTGTCCGGCCCCTGGGCGTGTCAGGTCAGTGTGGTGGGGTGTCTCGGGGTCTTTCTTGGGATGTGGTCCTGATCTGGCCGTCAGCGCCGAGCAGAGGACACTGGTGTGGGCCTCAGCAGATGGGACGGTGACCCCCCCCCCCGCGGGCTGGGACTTCGGCTTTGGGAACTGGGGCCAGTGGACGCTGTGGAGCGGTTGCCGGGCAACGGTGCCGTCGGCCCCGCCCCTCCGGCCCCGCCCCTCCGGCCCCGCCCCGGCTCGTCGCTGGGGTCCCGCGTGCGTGTCCTCCCCCGGCCGCGGGCCCCCGAGAGAGTTCGTGTCCGACCCTGGTTGCGCCGGCCCGGAGAAGTGCTGAGCCTTCCTTCTAACCCGGCAACCTTGGGCAAGTTAACTCGCTTCACTAGGCCTCAGTTCTGGAAGGAACTGGAAGGAACCCTAGCGCTCGTCTAGTTAAGCCACATGTCCCACTTCCCCCGTTTTATAGATAAGGGTGCCTCGCATTTACCAGCATTTACCACTCATCGTGTGCCTGGCGCTTTCAGTGAACCCCCAGGGTAGCCCTCTCGGTTCCTATTACCGTTTCCATAGAATGAGTTAGGCTCAGAGAGGTTGGTGAATTTAGCTGAGGTCACACAGCTTATAACCGGTGGGGTCTGAGGAGGTCAAATCACTCCCAGCTTGTTTGTGTGGCAGAGTTCAAATTTGCAGTAACTGGAGCGTTACAGGACTGCACTACTGCTAAACCTAATCGTAAGTCAGAATCGCTCGGCGAGTGTTTAAAAGTATCCATTCCCCGGCGCCCCGGCAAGGTTACTGACTCTGGCGCCAAGGCTGAGGACTGTGTATACTTAACACATTTTTTGGACGACTTTTATGGCCTTTGGGTGAGCTTTGGGAACCACTGGCTACACCGTGAGGCCTTTTTACTCACAAACGACTGAGAGAGAAGTAATAAGTCCAAACAAAGTACCTGGACAGGAACAGAGATGCTGGTGCATGCACAGTGCCATCGAGTTCTCATCCCTTCAGCCAATTTTTAACTTCTCTTCACACCTAGGAAACAAGACAGAGGCTTATATTTTATTGTTTTAATTTTTTTTTAATTTTTTTTTTTTACATTTATTCATTTTTGAGAGAGAAAGAGCACAAGTGGGGGAGGGGCAGAGAGAGAGGGAGGCGCAGAAACCGAGGCAGGCTCCAGACTCCCAGCTGTCAGCACAGAGCCCTATGCGGGACTTGAACTCACAAACCATGAGATCATGACCTGAGCGGAAGTCGGAAGCTTAACCCACTGAGCCACCCAGGCTCCCCTAGAGGCTTATATTTTAAGCAAGTTTGGACATTTAAATGCACATTCTCCAGTTCCTGGTTACCAGTCACACAGCTAGGTCCAAGCTTCTGGCTGGGCGGGCCTGTCATGACCAAAGTCCAATGTTACTTTCCTCCATTCCTGGCAGCCCCTCCCCTCCTGGTCTCCTTTATACCCAGTCCCTGAATCACAGCAGTGGATGTCGGGCTTGGAGGAACATTTTGCAGAGCAGTTTTCCCAGAGGAGGGAGGGCTGACAGCTTTCCAGAAGCATCACCACAAATAATGAGTATCCCTTCCTTGGCCTTCCCAGCAATCAGAATGAAATAGATCACCTGCCGTTATTCATGACGTTATTTATGAACACAAACCCATCTTAAAAATAACCACTTGGCTCTTAGTTTTAGAAGGCTAATAAGCCTGAAAAATCCTGTTTAGCGTTTTATTACTATTAATTCTCGTCACTTCCACTGCCTCCCTCAGGGATTCTGGTTGACGATGGCGGACGATCACGAGAAAGACTTGCAGAAATTTCTTAAAAATGTGGATGAAATCAGTAAGTACCAGTAAATCAGAAACAAATTAAATTCTGCGTTAGCAAGGTGGGGTGACTGAAGAGAAGTGATCACCCGAAGTTAGTTCCTGGGTTGCCTGATAGGTTTATGACTCTAAGAGAAAATATAATTGGAATTAAACAGAAAAGGTATTAAGAAGCGAGTAATATTAGAGCCTGGGGTAGTATTTTGAGGCTGTTCGTTGGTATCAGAGAAGCCATTAACATTCTGATGGGAACTGAGGGGGACAAGTCTCCTCCATATTCTGTCCCCTTCCACGTAGACTTCACGTCAAAGGAGCCCTAGCTGTTCCCTTCGAGATCGCTCAGGAACCTCAGTGATCAGTCTCCTCTTGCTTTAGGGCAGAGCCATTTCTGATTTTGAGCTGCAGAAGCAAAATCAAGTGGCTCTCCCCCTGGGTCCATCTGATTACATGAATGGCTTTTGGTTGTCCTATCCCCATCTCTCTGCCTCTAGGCAAGAAGACAGAAGACCCCTTCCCCAGCTCAGATAGGTGGGATCTCAAAGGACAGACTCTGATCCCACAAAGCACATTCACTAGATTCCAAAGTAGTTTGTTCCTATTCTTCAAGCTTCAGGGAGCTTGTTTGATGATGGAAACAAGCAAACCAACAACCCAACAAATCTTGCATATCAAATAGAAATAGGTTGAAATTGCTCCTTCTAGCAGCCTGTATGGGTCCAAAACCGTTAAAACGGTTTTAAAAATAGTCTGGGTCACTTGATAAAAGATAACATCCCTGGGCCTCTCCTCTGCCCGTCCCTAAATGCTGTTCTGCTGAGTTCTGGCCTCGGCCCACTTGCTCACTTTGCTCTTCAGGGGGGTCTGGTCCAAGCACAGGGTTTTCCCAGCAACCCGTTTACTCACGACCCCCACATCTCCATTGCCACCCGGCCTTCTTTGCCGAGGCTCGGGCTCTGTGCCACCCGTCACGGCCACAGTACCCCACGAACACGGCAGACTTAATGCGTCCAAACTGCAGCTGCTTGTTGCCCGACCCTTCTATCCTCCCCCCAGAGAATACCGCTTCTCCCTTCCCCTTCATTCTAGTCTCCATTGGCACAACCATCCACATTGGACTCCTGCCATCTCACCCTCCATTCGATCAGCCATCAAGTTTAGCTTTCTTCTCCAACTCCTTCCTCCCCACCCCCTGCTTTGTCCTGGTTCTCTGACCCACACTGTTTCAACAACCCCCTGATTGTTGTTCCTGCCTCCAGGCTTACGCTCCCCACAGAGTAATGTATCTAAAAATGCAAATCTGACCCAGACACTTCTCTGCTTGGATTCTCTCCGCAGCCACAATAAACTTCAAGCTCTCATCGGGGACTTAAGCCCTCCCGTGACCTTGTCCTTACCGCTTGCCTCTCCTTACCTCACACTTCTAGTTCCTCCACACACACCCTGGTGGTTCATGCTCTGCATGTTGCCTTTGACATTCCCTCTGCCTCCCTCCCCATCTGTCTTTACCGGCTCGCTTTCATTCATGCTCAGAGTTCTTGCAGGTACCATTTATACCAGTACTAGCCAATGGAACTTTCGGTGGTAACGGAAATGTCCTCTAATCTGCGCTGTCCACTATGGTAGCCAGTAACTGCATGCAGTTGTCGAGCATGTGAAATGTGGTTAGTGCTATCCAGCAACTGAATTTCCAGTTTTATTTCATTTGTAGTTACTTTACATTTGTAGAGCCTCCTGTGTAGATTCTATGCATTCATTTCCTGGGCTCTTGCTATGTACTGAGCTTTGCTAGGCACCAGAGAGACCGGTAATAATAAATAAGACTTCCCTTCCTTCGGGATATCTAGACTCCTGTGGGGAGAACAGATACTACACAAGCCATCTGGAATGCGATGTGTGATACAAAGTGAGATTTGAGATTTGCAAAGTACAAGAGACTGTAACTCAGTTTACAAATTGTATCAGTCTGGTTGGGCTGCTGTAACAAAACAGGGACTGAATGGCTTAAGCAGTAGAAATTTACTTCCACAGTTCTGGAGGCTGGAAGTCCAAGACTAAGGTGTCGTCAGTTTTCGTTTTTCCTGAGGCCTCTCTCTCTGGCTTGGAGATGGCCTCCTTTTTGCCGCATCCTCACATGGTCATTTTTCTGTGTGTGTGCGTGCGTCCCTGACGTCTCTTCCTCTTCTTATGAGGGCGCCAGTCCTGTTGTTCAGTGCTCCATCCTCATGACCTCATTTAACCTTTTTTTAAAAGTTTATTTATTTATTTTGAGCAAGACAGAGACAGAGCGAGTGGGGAAGGGGCAGAGAGAGACAGAGAGAGAGGATCCCAAGCAGGTTCCACACTGCCAGCACAGAGCCCACCTGCCACGGGGCTTGAACCCATGAAGCCATGAGATCATGACCTGAGCTGAAACCAAGAGTCGGATGTTTAACCGACTGAGCCACCCAAGTGCCCCCTCATTCAACCTTAATTTCACCTTTAAAGGCTCTCTGCCAGTACAGTCACATGGCTATGAGTCAGCATAGGAATGGGGTGGGGGCCACACTTGCATACAGGAGTTTTATAAGGCTTCCCTAAAGCATGGGATTTAAGCAGAAATCTGAAGTGTGAGTAGGACTCGGGCACTGGGGAGAAGGTGAGGGAATATTCTGAATGGAGAGAACATAAGTAGAAAAGCTAGGAGTTAAGAAAGAACAAGGTGCTTCTAAGAAACTAAAGGCATAAACAGCTGCATGTGGCTGGAGAGATCACAGAGACGAGGCTCCCATGTGAGTCAAGAAAGGCCGGATCAGGGAAGACCTTGGAAGCCACAATATGGAATTCGCGTTTACCCCGAGAGCAGTGGGAATCCTTTGGAGGGCTGACTCAGGAACGTGATCAGATTTGCACCGTAGAGAAGTTGCTCTGGCCACAGCATGGATGTAGACATGAGGACATGAGGGAACAGAAGAATGGATGCCGGGAGACCAATCAGGAGGGTGTCACAGCGCCAGGGAAGGGAGTCAGGTTGGGTGTAGAGCTGGAGCAGCAGGACTGGGCACAAGGAGATGGATTTGAGATATATTTAGGATTTAGGATTTACTCGATGACCTTTAGAGTTTGATGGCTGTGAGGCAGAGGGAGAATGAAGACTCAAGAGTGAGCCCTCAGTCAGTTGAGCATCCGACTCCTGATTTCTGCTCAGGCCATGATCTCACAATGCGTTGGATCAAGCCCTGCATCAGGCTGTGCGCTCCCATGGGATTCTCTGTCTCTCAGTCTCTCTGCCCCTCCCTCGTGCACTCACTGTCTGTCTGTCTGTCTGTCTCTCTCTCTCTGTCAAAATACATTAAAAAAAAAAATGGGGCCCGAAAGTTTTGGGTCGAATGCCCAGTGGGTGGTTCAGCCATCTGCTAAGATAGAAGGCATTTGGAGGAAGAAGAGCCTCAGGGGAAGGAGGATGGGCAGCCCAAGATCGGTGAGTAAGACATGACAGCGAAGATGTTCAGAGGGCAGTTGGCTGTGCGAGTGTCAGCCTAGGAGAGAACAGAGCTGGGGACATCAGTTTAGGGGGCACTTGGCATTAATGTTACTTATAACCGTGGGAGAGAACAGGAATACCTGGGGACAGGCTAGAGAAAAAGAGAAGAAGGCTCAGGCGGAGCCTTGAGGATGACCACAGTTTCGAAGGCAGGTAAGACAGGGAGAGCAGGAGCAAGCAAGGGAGACTGAACAGCGATGGCCAAACAGGTAGGAAGCAACGACCATTCTGTTCTCTGTACTTGAGAGTCTGGTTTTTTGTCTCTGTTTTTTCTTTGTTTGTACATTCGTTTTGTTTCTTAAATTCCACGTGAGTGAAATCATGTGGTATTTGTCTGTCTCTTGACTGACTTATTTCATTTGGCATAACACTCTCCAGCTCCACCCGTGACACTGCAAACGGCAAGGTTTCATTCTTTTTTATGGCTGTGATATTCCATACCTGGCTGTTGTAAATAATGCTGTAATAAACACAGGACTGCATATAGCTTTTCAAAGTAGTGTTTCTGTTTTCTTTAGGTAAGTAGCTAGTAGTGAAATTACTGGATCATGGCAATTATTGCTATTAATTTTTTTTAATGTTTATTTTCGAGAGAGAGAGAGAGAGAATGCACACGTGCGAGCAGGGGAGGGGCAGAGAGAGAGAGACACACACACAAAATCCCAAGCAGGCTCCTGTCAGCACAGAGCCTGATGCAGGGCTCGAACCCACAAACGGTGAAATCATGACTTGAGTCAAAGTCAGAGGCTTAACTGACTGAGCCACCCAGGTGTCCCACTGCTGTTAATTTTTTGAAGAACCTCCAAACTGTTTTCCACCATGGCTACACAAGTTTGCTTTCCCATCAACAGTGCACAAGGGTTCCCTTGATGGGAGGCAGTTTTTTAAAGTCCATGAGAGGAGGACAGGATGACTTGGCTGGATGTGATAGTGTGATTTATTTTTTATTTATTTTTTTAATGTTTATTCATTTTTTGAGAGAGAGAGAGACAGAGAGACAGAGCATTAGTTGGAGAGGGGCAGAGAGAGAGGGAGACACAGAATATGAAGCAGGCTCCAGGCTCTGAGTTGTCAGCACAGAGCCCAATGCAAGGCTCACACTCATGAACTGCGAGATCATATCCGGAGCCAAAGTTGGCCTCTTAACCAACTAAGCCACCCAGGCGCCCTGATACTGTGACTTATAATAAGAAATACATGTTTGTTCATTGTCCCGGTGCTGGGCACAGAACTCCTAAAACCCTTGGCACTCCTAAGTGATAAGGCAGACAAAGACATCCTCATATGCATGACAAACCCTTTTCAGTCACACCTGAGTTTATGTTAATGAGTGACTTTTGAAACCTAAGGATGGCAGCTGGTTGCCAGGGGAACCAACCTGGTGCTAAAGTTTCAACCCTCTCAGAAGGGGAGAGGGGCTGGCGGTTGAACTGATTACCAGTGGCCAATGATTTTTAATCGATCAGGCCTATGTAATGATGCCTCCATAAAAACTCAGAAGGACCAGCATCAGGGAGCTTCCAGGTTGATGAACACATGGACATGTTGGGAGAGGGGTGCGCTCAGAGAGCCTTCTACACCCCCTTCCCACACACCATGCCCTATGAATCCCTTCCGTCTGGCTCTTCTGAGTTACATCCTTTTATGACAGACTGGTAATCTAGTAAATAAAATGTTTCTCTAAGTTCTGTGAGCCACTCTAGCCAATTAATCAAACCAGAGGAAGAAGAGGTCGTGGGACCCTCTGATGTATAGATGTTCGGGCAGAAGCACAGGTGACCATCTGGGAGGTGGGGAGGGGGCAGTCTTATAGGACCAGACCCCTAAGCTGTGGGATCTGACACTATTCCAGGTAGGCAATGTTAGAATTAAGCTGAATTGTAGCGACACCCAGCTGGTGTCAGAATTGCATGGTGGTGTGGGGAAAAGCACACGTTGGAATTGGGGTCAGAATCCTACTAGGCCAGCAGTAGGATCTCCAAGCATCATTGACAGGGCAGTTGAGTTAGGACCAGTTCTCCCTGGTGTCCATTGCTTTCTCTGTCAATACTCTGCATCCGTAACAAAGGCCCAGAGAAGTGGGGAGTTGGATTTGGAGTTGGGAGTTTTGTCTGGCAGGTGTGGTGGAAGGGCAAGGGAGGTCAGCATGTGGGCAGGATGGTGGCCTAGTGATGGACCACGGGCTCTAAGCTGAGTGGGCGGTAAAGTGAAGACCAGGAAGGATGGCTTTAAGGGCTGTTTTGTGATCTCAGTGCTGCCTAAATTTACCTGTTTGTCTCCCACACAAGATGGGAAACTCTTCAAAAGTTAACATCTTTTTTATTCATCGTTATCGAGGGCATTCTGCATAATATCTGACTCATAATAAGCTCTCCATAAATTGTCACTGAATTAAATAAGGAGCTTAAAACTGTAATTTGAAGGCCACGGTAAAATTCTCCTGCAGCTTCTTCCAGGCAAAACAAATCCTGATCTTAATTTTTTCTCAATGGTTCTAATGGCTCTAATTTTTGCTTTCCATTCAGAACCTTCTTTAAGAAATGGGAAGAGAGAGGGGCGCCTGGGTGGCGCAGTCGGTTAAGCGTCCGACTTCAGCCAGGTCACGATCTCGCGGTCCGTGAGTTCGAGCCCCGCGTCAGGCACTGGGCTGATGGCTCAGAGCCTGGAGCCTGTTTCCGATTCTGTGTCTCCCTCTCTCTCTGCCCCCTCCCCCATTCATGCTCTGTCTCTCTCTGTCCCAAAAATAAATAAACGTTGAAAAAAAAAAAATTTAAGAAATGGGAAGAGAGAGAGGCGCCTGGGTGTCTCAGGAGTTTAAGCATCTCACTTCGGCTCAGGTCATGATCTCGCAGCTTGTGAGTTCGAGCCCTGTGTTGGGCCCTGTGTTGGAGCTGACAGCTCCGAGCCTGGAGCCTGCTTCAGATTCTGTGTCTCCTCCTCTCTCTGCCCCTCCCCCTCTCATGCTCTGTCTCTCTCTCAAAAATAAATAAACATTAAAAAAAATTTTTTTAATGGGGTGCCTGGGTGGCTCATTCAGTTGGGAGTCTGACCAGCTCAGGTCATGATCTCACGGTCTCAGTTCAAGCCCCGCATCGGGCTTTGTGTTGACAGTTCAGAGCCTGGAGCCTGCTTCAGATTCTGTGTCCCCCTCTTTCTCTGCCCCTTCTCTCCTCATGCTCTGTCTCTCTCTGTCTCTGAAAAATAAATAAACCTTAAAATTAAAAAAAAAAATTTTAAAAGAAATGGGAAGAGATAATCTAAGGAATGGGAAAAGCTATTTGCAAACCATGTATTTGATAAGGGGTTGATATCCAAAATATATAAAGAACTCAAACAACTCAATAACAAAAACAAAACATACCAGCTTACCCAATTAAAAAATGGGCAAAGGACCCAAATAGACGTTTCTCCAAAGAAATATTTGAAAAGCCAACAGGCACATGAAAAGATGTTCAACATCACTAGTCACCAGGGACATGCAAATTAAAACCACACTGAGATACCACCACATGCCCTTCAGAGTCACCATTATCAAAAAGACAAGAGACAGCAGATGCTGGCAAGGTTGTGGAGAAAAGGGAGCCCTTGCAGAGTTGGTAGGAATGTAAACTGGCATAGCCACTGTGGAAAACAGTATGGAGTTTCCTCAAAAAATTAAAACCAGAAATACCATATGATCCAGTAACTCCACTTTGGGGAATATATCTGAGGGAAATGAAAACACTAACTGGAAAAGGATATCTGCACCCCCATGTTCAAAGCAGCATCACTTACATGGAAACAGCCTAAGTGTCCATCTGTGAATGAATGGATAATGAAGTTGTGCTATGTATAAACAAGGGAATGATATTCAGCCATAAAAAATGAGGAAATCCTACCATTCATGACAACATGGGTGGACCTTGAAAGCATAGTGCTAAGTGAAATAAGTCAGAGAAGACAAGTACTCTGTGATCTCACTTATATGTGGAATCTAAAAAAAAAAAAAAAAAAAAAAAAAAAAAAAAAAAAAAAAAAAAAAAAAAAAAAAAAAAAAAAAAAAAAAGAACAAGAAGAAAAGAGAAGAAAAGAAAAAACTCATGGAGATCAGACTTGTGGCTAACCAGAGATTGAGGGTGGGGGAGGGGGATTTGGAGGAAGGGGGCCAAAAGCACAAACGTCCAGATGTAAGATCGGTAAGTGCCAGGCGTGTGATGTACAACAAAATGACTATAGCTAACACCACTGTAGGATAGACGGGAAAGTTAGCAAGAGAGCAAATCCTAAGAGTTCTCATCACAAGGAGAGAATTTTTTCCTTTTTTTTTTTTTTTATCCCATCTATAAGAAAAGATGGATATTAATGGAACCAATTCTAATCATTTAACAATATAATAAATCCAGCCATCATGCAATACGCCTAAAACTTATACAGTGATGTATGTCTGTTACTTCTCAATAAAACTGGAGGGAAAACAAAGAAATGGGGAGATGTTGGTCAAAGGGTACAAACTTCCAGTTATAAAACGAGTAAGTGCAGGGTTCTAATGTACAACATGGTAACTATAGTTAGTCACTGCATTTTATACTTGAGAGTCACTAAGAGAGTTGATCTTAAATGTTCCCAGCGCATGTGAAAATTGTAATTGCATAAGGAGATGGCTGTGTTAACCTTATTGTGGGATCACTTCACAACGTGGATCAAATCATCACACTGTGAACCTTAAACTTACACAGCATTGTACGTCAATAATATGCCAATAAAGCTGGAGAAACAAAACTTCTTCCCCAGGACTGTGCTACCCCATCCTTCCTAGTGAATGGAGTCTTTTCTTTTGAAGACCTCATTTGAACGATTCACATCTGATTTCTCCTGCAGCCAGTTTAATTCAGGAGATGAATTCTGATGACCCGGTTGTACAACAGAGAGCTGTCCTAGAGACAGAAAAGAGACTGCTGTTTACAGAGGAAGTCCAAGAGGAGGATGGATGCCGGACCACGCTGAACAAGACCATGATCAGTCCTCCACAAGCTTCTCCTGAGGTTTCTTTTTCTATTTTGGAGTTAGATAAGCAGATACAAAGGAGAGGTCTGCACTGAAGCAGAAAAGTGGTAGTTTAATCTCAAATTGCCTAGTGAGGCTAAAGTGGTCTTTTGCTTTTTAGATTCACTAGATTTATTTGCCACAAGGAAATACAAACTCTGATTTTTTTTTCTTTGTCGTTCTGAGTTATCTTTAAAATAATGGGTTTATTTTAATGAAAATTTGGTCTCTCTACCTCCTGAGCTTGCGACCATATCTAAGCTGTACTGTTAAGGTAATATATCCTGTCTCATATTTCCAACTCACACAGCCACAGCCGGGGTCCCTCGACCTGCTCACCCTGTAACAACCGTATGCATAATCAGAACTGATTTAAAGCAAGCCTTCAGAATTCGGGGCCCTTCAGTATTGATGGTTAAAGGAAATAACCCTACCACCCCACTTGTGATGGATCTGCATTCTTGGTGTATATTCACATAAATCAGAGAGTAGTTTTTGAAATTTGTTTCTTTGTTTTTATGATAACCTGTGCCTGCAGAATACAGATGAAATAAACTCAGGTAAGGACAGCATCTCTCTTCCTATTTGTTTAGGATCAGTGTTTATCAACTGTAGCTTCCAGACCCTTAAATTATAGCCTCTGGGCTTACAAACAACCCGTGAACAAAAACCTACTGATCAGCCACTTCTCTTACTAGTGGTCAGAGGAAACAGTGCTCACAGGTTTTTCTGTAATTTCTCCTGGACAGTCTTTTATAAACTGAATTCAGTTATTCTGTATCAGCCAATTTTTTGTTAGCTGCTGAAGGGATCCAGGTAGCTTCTCTGTTGCTCAGCTCAGAAACTCATTATGCTAAATGGAACGAAAAAGTCTACCTTTAAAGAAAAACTCTTTTAAAAGGCATAATTCAAATTTGAAGCACAGACATAGCCATCATGTATAATAATATACCACACAGATTACCATTTAATGTCAAATTAAGAAAATGTCATTTTAGTTGCCTCAGAATCTGTGTGTGTGTGTGTGTGTGCGCGCGCGCGCTCGTGTGCATGTGTGCACAGGAGTGTGTGCCTACATATATATGCATGAGGTGTGTGTCTCTAAAGCTTTTAAAGAAGCTTTCTTCTGAATGTGAGCTAAAGAACTGATTATGATATCTGGATTTTTCTCTCTAATATTTGAAATTACTCTGCTGTCAGAAGCCTTCTTGGCATCCGTGGAGTCGGATGCAAAGGAACGTGCCAGAAGAAGAAGGGAGAACAAAGTCTTAGCAGATGGTAACTGTCTATCTTCACTTCCCAAGAGCTGGGATGATTTGTGCCCGAAAGATCATGAGTCTGTCTGCCGGTACTTGAGGACAGCGAGATTCCCGGCTGGGGGTCCATAATGGTCTCGAGGCAGTGGAGCCTGGCCAGGCAGAAGCCAGCGTTGTCTGCTCCCTGCCCCTGCTGCAGCAGACAGGGAAGAGGGCAGAGCCCTCCATCAGGCTCCACAGCCAGACCTCTTCCTAAAGCACAGGGACGGACCTGGCAGACCAGCGCTCAGCAGTCAGTAGGGAGGGTGGAAGTGAGGTGCGCAGGCTGGCCTGAGGCACAGAAGGGAGAGTGGAAAAGAAAAATCAGACAGTAAAATGTAGATGTGAGAAGGGAGAGGAGAAATGGAGAGAGAGACGGGGTTGTGCGTGTGTTGGAGGGACACACGCATTTGGCACTTTTGAGTCTCCGAGAGGCATGTGCTGCGCATGAAGAGCTCCACATCTGCTGGAAAATGACTTATTTGGCCGTCTTTGTGAGACACTGAATGTCAGACTTGGCCTTTGTGGCAAACTTGGAGAGGTTCTGAGTTTTGAGGCAGAAACATTTTTTTTCTTAAACACTTTTTTTTTAAGTTTATCTTGAGAGAGCGAGCGAGAGCAGGGAAGGGGCAGAGAAAGAGAGAGAGGGGAGAGAGCAGCTGGCTCTCTGCTGCCAGCGTAGATCCCGACGCAGGGCTCGAACTCACAAACCATGAGATCATGACCTGAGCTGGAATTGAGTCGGACGTTTAACCTACTGAGCCACCCACGTGCCCCAGAAACATTTATTTTTCGGAGAAGCTACTTAGGAGACTTGGCGATAGGTTTGGAGGGGAAAAAAATCCTTAAAGAGGCCGATCCCAAAACATCTGTAGAGAAACAGGCAGCAGATCTCCTCTGGGTTGATGGAAGCTATGACCTTCAAAGCTGGGTTCCAAAGCCAGGGGAATAAAGTCTGAGAGAATTATCCCGTGTGCGGGCAGAGCTCACCTGTATGACTTTTATTCTCCAGCCCTAAAACAGAAGGGGAACGAAGCGTTTGCCAGAGGTGACTATGAAGCGGCCATCCTGTGCTACAGTGACGGTTTGGAGAAGCTGAGGGATATGAAGGTGCTGTATACCAACCGAGCCCAGGTCAGTGAGCCAGCAGTGTGTCGGTGGTGCCTTCTTAGGGGACGGTGGCCACCGAGTTTGTGAAAACCGAACATGAGACCAGATGTCACCAGCGGTGCACTGTCAGCGCTTACCAGCTGGCTCTGGTTGGGGTGTGGGGGGCAACCGCTTTGCATGGAGCATTTGCCACCTTCCACGGTGTCCGGGCTCTCACCGTGGTCCACTTTCCAGCTGCCGTCTTGAAGGGGTGGAAGGGTGACTTGGGAAGAGCTACACCCAGCCAGTCCTGCCCGTGGTCTGAGTCAGCTCCCACACATCACCGATGGTAAAACGGGTGAATGAAACAGCCTATGAGCATTGGATTCTGGCGTCACTGGGTTTTTCCAGCCCCCTCTGGCTGGTAGCCTGAACTCCTCAGGCTCCCTTCCTTACTCCATCAGCTCCTGTTTGATTAAGATTATTCTATGACTGGGATCAACTGGATAGCTAGCTGATGGGCCTAGACCCAGTTTTGCAAAAATTTTGAGTTTCCGAACTCCCTAAAACCTCAGTTTTGTATCATATGAGCTCAGTTTTGTGGCACACCAGGTAAAAGGCATCACCTGACGTTTACTACCTACTATCGAGTAAAGGGACAAGGTTGATAGGTCTCAAACAGAAATGTCCCCTGTGGCCTATCTCTGAAAGGCACTTGAGCTTGTGTGAGGCAGAGCTCTGTTAGGCCTGCAAAGGTGGCGGACTTGCAGGCACGATGATCCACTGGTCAGGAGATGTCAGCAGGACCGGTGTGAGGTGCACTAGCCACCATGTCATTGACAAGAGGAACAGGACGCGGCAGAGCCCTCATCAGCTCCAATTTCTGTAACTCCGGATCAGGAGTGTCCTGTGGTAGGTTGAGAGGAACGGTGAAAGCAAGAAACAGGACGTTTGGAGGCCAAAAAGTCTGGGAAGTGATAGTGATTTCCTGAGAAATAAATCCAAGCACCCAGGCACACCGTCCCCTCAGTAGCTCAGCAGTTTGAGGGTTGAGGTGTAACTTACCTAGCCCCATCTGGGAAAAAAATTGATATAAGGGAGTGAACTGGTAAAGAGAACGGCCAGAGACTGATTTACCAGGTGCATTCTACCACCCTAACAAGATTATGAACTTTTCCATCAACCTCCCCGCCCCCACCCAGTGCTTTCCCTTATAATAGATGTTTAATAAACCCTTGCTAAGTTACATAACACTGGAAGCACAATAAGTCTATTTAAGGGAATTACGTTTCTGTTGACACTTTGGAAGAAGCATTCAAATGCAAGCAATTAATGTAATAATTACAATTCCTTTTTACTTATCACCAGATTTGGTCTCCAAAACATTTACCTACTGATGCTTTTGCAGTCTTGTTACTTTGAAGTTATTTGAAAGCAGTAAAATTGAATTGCTTTTAAAATGTTATGTAATTCAGACTTTTATCTAATTCAGATGGTCTGTACCCCAATCCACCTAAATTAGTTACATTTTTACTGTACTCAAGTCTAAGCAGCACATTGATTAGTTCTGAAGCATCACATTAAGAATGAATATGGATAAAAATAAATAAATGTAATGAAAAGCTTTGGGGAAGTAATTCCTCCCATCTTTCCCAAAGAGAAAACTTATTGAGAGATGAAGAAATGCAGAGTGCGCTGCTTGGTGTTAACAATCACCGAATCACTGAATCTCGGTGTGGGGGGGGGAGGGGGAGGAACAAAGGTGGTGGAATAGCACGGAAGGTTTCTTGTGTATCACGTCCATGAAATACAGCCAGACCAACACTAAACCATCCTGCACACCTAGAAAACTGATCTGAGGATTAACACGACAATCTGCACAACCTGAACCACAGGATTCAGCAGGTATGCGGCGCAAAGAGGTGAGCTGGGGGAGACAGAAGCCACGGAGGGCAGGGAGCTGTTTCTGTGTGTGGAGAGAGGACGGAGACAGGGGAGAGAGTGTAGGAAAAGCACCCTCCCCAAAAGCAGCTGGAGAGAAAGCGGAAAAGTGGAAGCAGCCGCAGGGACTGAACCAAAAAGGGAGAAAGGAGAGGGTTTAAATTCCACTAGGACTAAAAACAGGGAGCGCAGAGGCTGAAACGGCGCGGCTCCATACCTGGTGGTGCTCTGGTGGGAAGGACGAATCCCCAGGAGCAGAGCGGAGTCCAGGGTTCTTTGGGCCACACGGAGAGAGGCAGTTCCCCTGCTGGGAGGACATCAGGTAGGGGCTGTGTGGGTCCCCCAAAGGCAAGGCCCCAGTGGACCCGGGAGAACCACCACGTTCGCTGGCGCTGGAACGAGGTCGTTAAGGGTGAAGCCTGGCGCCAGGTGTGTGTTGTTTTCAATAATCCCGGAAACGCTGCTGCTACACGATCTCGGGAACTTTTTCTGGGGGGGCTGGCACCCGGTCGCAGTCTCTGGGCATCGGCAGCAGCCCAGTCCTGTGAACGATCCTGGGTGCGGCTGGCACCGGCCAGTGCTCGATGAGACCCTCCAGCTGAGGAGCAGAACGGGTCAAAGCCGCAGTCCCTCAGAAGTGAGGGGTCGGGAAAAACAGCCGCATCTGAGACGGAACTCAGGAGGGAAGTGCTGCCTGGCGCTTGGTCACAGACAGTGTAAATGTGGGGAGTGCATGGCAGCCGAAGACAAAGGACAGGTGTGCAGTTGCTGATTGGGGAGAAGAGAATTCAGATACTAGAGACCAGGTACCTGGGTGACGCCATTTCACCGCTCCGGGGCATGTGCAAATGCACCTACAAACGCTGCAATAATCCACCCCCAGTAAGCTAAGCAGCGCCATCTAGTGGAGAACAGAGGGATTACACTAAGCCCCGCCCAACGGGACCAACCTCGCGCTCCAGGACCGCAAATCTCTCCGCCTGCTTAGTTTATGGACTATAAAGTGCTTCGTAGTTTGACTTCTAGGGGAAAACGAAGTAATTTCAGTTGGACTTCAGTCTGTTCACTGATCCATCTATTCAATTTTCTTTTTTTTTCTTTTCTCTCTTTTTCACTTCTTTTTCTTGAATACAGAAAGAGAAAAATTCATTATTTTCGATTTTTATTAAAACATTTTTCTTTGATTTTTTTCTATATTTTTTACTTTTGTGTAATTTTTTTCAAATTCCATTTTACTTCCATCATTTCACTCTAGTCTACTTCGGTGTATTCATTTTTTTCAATTTTAAAATTCTTTCTTTTTTTTCTCTTTCTTTTTCTTTTCTTTCCCCTTTTTTTCTCTAATCCG